TGGCAGCCTCGCCAGCAGTGTAGCATGAGGACGGGGTTGCAGGTCCCTCACCTCAAACAGTGGCCAATGTGGGCTAGAGCAGTGGCTGTAGAACGCTCTGGAATACAGGAAACACGAACAGTGGTTCTAAGTTCTCATCCAGTCCTAAAATTTAGTACTGTATGAATTCTAGAACATTCAGCAGATGATAATGAATGTTTAGGGCTCATCCAATCCATAAACAGACTCCAGTCCTTCCAAGGCCCTTCGGCTTCCTCTCAACCACCATCCCTGAAGCCAGAGGACACTGGAGGTTGATTGGACTGCAGAACTTTCGGGGCCCACCTCAGATGGGTCCAGACCCGGCCTCACCAGTGGGGTTGAGTACTGAGGCGCAAACAGGGTGGGGACAATGGTGAGCCACAGCTAGAGGGGGCTGGGAGCAGAGGGCCTTGAGGGGGTGAGTGCTGAGCTCGCCTGCCCCCCTTCCTTCAGGGGTCTCCCTGATAGGCACAGGGAGCCCACACACGGGGGTCCCCTTCTTGCTTGTAAGACGCTTTGTGGTGTCCTTACTACGAGGAGGGAAACCCATGGTTCCCATTCGTGTGAATATGGAGGAGGAAGCAAGAGCAGAGTCTTCACGTCAGAGTGACTGTTGTTTCCAGGGGGCCAGCTTCGGGAGGAAGGAGTCCACTCACACCTCGGGGTGCTGGTTGTTATTAGTTGCCGTCCAGTCGGCTCTGTTATTTACAACATAAAATTGCCGGTCCAGCACCATCCTCACCATCACTGGTACGTTTAAACCCGTGTTGAGGTCACTGTGTCAATTCATCTCACTGCCAGTCTCCAGGAATCTCTAAAGAGAAGACTAAATCCTGGACATCCCACTGCGGTTTGCCAAGCTGGTCTCTATTTCTTAGTGTCTGGCGCTCCCTTCTGGAAGCCCTTGGACTTGCAGCGGCTCCCGATGAAACCGGCATCAGGTAACGAGACATCCGCGCGCAGCTGTGCACGGCCGGCACCCGCCCCCGCCCCTCCCCCCACCGCAGGTCCAGGCGCGTGAGCTCTGGGGTCTTCCCGCCCAGAACCGGGCACGCGGCGGCTCGACCCCCTCGGGTCTGAGTTAAAAACGGGGCGGAAGAGCTCTGGGGGAAGCCCTTCACGCTCCCGATGCCTCAGTTTCCCCGGCCCCGCGTACGGCACCGCCTTTCAGGTCCTCACACACGAACTATCCCGAGTTCTTGCCCTGTTCCAAGGTCTGCCCTAGTGCGCGGAGACTTGAAGATCGTTGGGCCAGACCCCACCCCCAGGACCTCGGAGGACGGCCACACGAGGGGACCCAGGCCAGTATCCATGGGGGTCATCAGGGGGGTGGGGAGTGAGCTGTTGGGGGGGTTTGTGGGAGGGGGAATGGGAGGGGCCGTTCTAGCCAGACGGAGCTCGGGGACCGTGGGCGTGACAGGAACAGGGGGTCAGACGGGCCAGGGAGGGTGGGGTCCAGTGGGGTTGGGCAGGCGGGCGCCGCGGAGTGAGCAATGTGCAGAGCAATGTGCAGCGGACTCTCATTTCCTTCACCGTGTCATGACACCCCAGGCGGCCCCAGCTGGCCTCGCGGAGGATCTGCTTTGAGGGGACTGAGGGCGGCTTCACGTCCAGGAAGAAGGGAAGTGGGCTCACGCCGATGGCCGAGGGCCGGGGGCAGGGCTCACACGTCAGGGAGTGGACAGGCAAACATACCCACCCGAGGGGCGGATTCAGGCCATCAAAGGTCACGTGGGATGCACAGCCCACCCTGCCTGAGAACGTCCCGCGTGAATGGTCACTGAAGGTCCACTGTGATCCTGAGAACGTCGCTCACGGTTCATTGTGACCCTGAGAAGTCACCGAGGGTCCACCTGCTCCTCTATTTTTCCAGTTACTGAGAATCTGCTTACATCCTTGGATGGCCTCACCAGCCCAGGGGGACAAACTGATGGAGGTGTCTGGGGTGACAGGCCCCTGGGGGCTGCGTCCAGGGAGCCTTTGGAAGGGCGAGGAGGCTGGGCCAGGTGGGTGTCCTTGGTGGGCGAGGGAGGCCGAGTCCAGGATGCTGTTCGTGGCTTCACATCCCCTGGTCCCTCTGGGCTGGGGGTTCCCCTTCCTGGGTGGGAAGGAGCAGGCTCAGGTCAGCTTGGGAGCACGCTGGTCACCCTGGTCCCCAGGGCCTGCATACAGGCCTCACTCTGGACCCCAGGGGCCACCCCGACATCTGGGGACACTGTCAGCCTGTCGGACAGTCCTGAGGATGACGCCAGACCCCTATCCCAGAATGAAGGGGCCCGAAGGATCAAGTTCAAGGGGGTTGGGGGGAGGGGATGAGCCCATGCCTGGGGTGACCTATGGATTCTCGGCAACAGTGGAGGGCTCTGCTCTGTGAGCGACCCTCAACCCTTCTGGGGGCCCGATGGGGCCTTGACCGCTTGGAACGTGAGTGGGGGGAGCCTGTAGTGGGGCAGTGAGACCCCCACCCTGAAGAACCTCACTATGCTCCCACCGGTGCACTCCACTGTGATCCCCCCAGGGTGCTGGGCACAGGGCAAGTGTTTGTGTGTCTGTGGAGTGGGGGGTGGGGGACTGTGGGGCTGGACATGGGGAGGGGGACGAGGGGTCTAGGGGCAGGTGTGACTTCAGCTACTCACATCACTCGAGGCGCCCCCTGCCCTGGGGCTGTTTGGGGGTCTGGTTCCAGCCACGTCAGCACCAGCACCCTGCAGCCCCAGCCTCAGTTTGTGCTCTAAGGACTTTGCTGGTCTCTGGAATTTTCTTTAGGCCACGGAGGGCCTTGGGCACCTGCGGACAGTGGAGGGAAGGGGTAGGGGCAGGAGGGGCCCTGGGAATGATCCTGCTCCAGCAAGGAGAGGAAGGGATGTCAGTGACGATGGCGGGGGTCATCTCCAGAAAGTTTTGGGCAGTGGAGGGTGGTCTTACATGGTGGTAGGCATTTAGGGGCCTGCCACGGAGACCCCCTTTGTACACCTGGGCTCATAGGGTGATGAGCACAGGTGACACAGTCCCGTGTGGCCCCGGGTCACTCAGGCTGTGGGTGGGGAGGGACTGTGGGAGAGGCCAGGCAGCCTGGGACCCAGCAGGAGCCCCATCCAGGCCTGTTTTCAGTTCAGAGGAATGCAGCTCTGGCCTTCACTCATTTGGTTTTCTGGAAGCTAATACCTGTGGCTCCATATTCAGTGTTCAGCTAACCTAAGGCTCACACAAACTTCTGTATTTTAAAGGTACACTGAAGTGTTATTCCCAAAGGGCCATGGTTTTTAGTATTTCTGAGGTTATCTATAGATGAGGACTGTTTTAAGTTTACTTCATAGGTGGGTGGTTTGTCGGAAAGAGCCTACCGTACCTGGTGCTTCTCAGCCCGACAGCGCCGTCTCACTCTTACAGGCTCTATCCACCGTGATATCTGGGACCCTGGCCCTGACCTCAGCTGGGCTTCCATCCCTCCTGCACACCCATGCTCAAAGGAGGGACAGAGTCCGTGAGCTCTCCATCCATCCAAAGTGACGATGGGCCCCACCAACGAGGGAGCCAGCTGTATTAACAAGACACAGTGACACCTAGTGGGAAGTCAGAGAACTTCCTGTGAGGTGGAGAATGCTCGCACTGGAGAAGGTGACCCGGAGGCCCCGGTATGTGGCTGGGAAGAAAACCTTTATTGGTTTGAGGCTGGTGATTCTCCTCTAGAAGGGAGAAGACCGAGACAGGAGGGCTCGGAGGTGTAGCGGTGCTCCAGCAGTGAGGGGGCAGAGGGGACGTGCAGCTTGCTGATCACATAACCACAGAACAGTCCTGTCCTCAGCACTGCCCACCTGCCTGGCCTTCCATGGGGACCTTGGGGGAGGAGATGTCCCTAGAAGTTCATGGAAGAGACATAAGCACAGCACAGGCCACTTTTCGAGCATGAAGAATACCCTTGACCGAGGGCCCTGGCCCACCCCTTTCCTCTTAATTGAAAAATTATCTGCCTAAGCACTCTGCTGACAGACCCTGCAGGATTGTCACTCTGTGGGCGCAGGTCTGGAATGACACCCAGTGCATAGCACATCTTAGAGGGAATGCACTCGTTGCTCGGTATAAACGCTCCACCTCACAGAAACCACAATTACAGTTTGGAAGATGAAGGCCTTTTCCATCATCACCTCAACCTGAGCGGACAGGAGCGAATGCAGGTGACAGGACAGGTGCAACGTCTCAGGTGATGTGCGTCCAAGGACGGCAGATGAACACAGAAGGGTGTTTGCATTTGGTGCGATTTCACACACTAGAGAAGGATGGGGCTGTCGTGCCTATCTACCTAATGGCAACACTGCTTTGAGGATGGTGTACATGAGTGGCTGCAGTGGGATTATGCACAAAAATTTTACAGTGTGATCCACTCAGCCTTAAAGTGCCCAGGGGGACAGTTCTTTCTGTACTTGTGAATTCCTGCTGGAAAGAGAAACGGACTACACACAGGAGCGTGACGCCTGGAAGTGCTGCATGCAGCAGACACTGACGTATCAATCTACACACAGGTGCATGATAGCCGGAAGTGCTGCATGTGGCAGATACCTGTGTGCCAACAGTCTGCATCCATCAATACCTGATGACGAGCGGCAGATATAGATGTTGGACGTACAGATCTAGATTTTATTTAAGTAGGGATGGCATTCTAAGTTATAACATCAAAGAAAGAATGTGAATGTTAAGAAATTGCAGAATATAAATTCTAAGAACACCAGTTAACAGTGTAATAATTATGACTCATTTCAATAGAAACTCAAGCTGGTTCAATATGTAAATTGAATTTTGAGAGACAATAAAAAAATAACAAAACAAAAGGGAGGATGAGTGCCGGTCTCCGTGACGGCAGATCATCCTGAAGTGAGGCCTGAGGACGGGGTTTCTCGTCCGTGTGCCCACGAGTCCCTCCCATCCCTCTCCCACATGCAGGTGCAGAAGGTGCTGGAAGCAGTCCCATCATTGGTGTGGCCTCAGGAGGTGAGCTTGGAGTAGCTGGGAGGAGAAAGCTTTCGCTTCAGATACTTAAGAATGTACAGTGGCAGGCAGCTGACCACCGTGATGGCTGACACTTTCCACAGGAAGGTCACAGTTGTGATGAAGGCAACGTCTGCAGGATAGAAACGGAGGAGAAGCGTCAGTGGGTGGGCAGGTTCACAGGCCTCACTGTGCAGCAGTGACCCTGACACCACTGGTTCCAGAACCTAATGTGGAGGTGCTTACAGGGCCAGGCCCAAAGCCAGTGGTCAAGTCCTCCTTTTTGCAGGATTGCTTACCTGTGCACCAGGTGTAACTAATACCACCAAATACTGCTTAATGCGTAGACAGTGCTTTGCAATAGAACTTGGAAGACACTGAAGTACTAACTGCTTATGGCACTTTGGTAGATAATACCAAATAACTCTGCCTTTATGATCTGCTTAAACTATTTAGGCTAATTTCTTCTTTTAAGGTACAGTCAACTTTACTGGGGGTTCAGGGTACCAGACGGCAGCAGTCACATCACTGCACGTGGAGACATGGGTCTCTCAGGACTGAATGTGGAGCCTCCTGTCCCTCCCTACAGCCCTCAGCCTCTCCCTCAGGGACGTGCTCACCAGTGCCCAGCAGCAGGCTCTGTATGCGAGTCTCGTTTCGCACCGTGATAAAGCAGCACTGGTAATGGCTGGCTATTTAATGTCTTATGAGAAGAGGCATATGAAGAACCTGATACTTGCATAGTTCAATTCTGTAGATCAGGGAAACCCCCTCACACTGTGTGGTCAGAATACAGGATAAAAAGTCTACCTACTAGGAATCACAGGCTTTGACAAAAACAATTGGTTGACGTCTCCTGTATCAGAGCCCATCAAGCGCTGAGCCTTGTTGGTATTTAACCATGTTTTGAAAAACCCTGGAAGTGTTTTCCATGCACCCAGGCACTAAAACTTAAAAGGCAAAAAAGCTCTGTGGGGGAGGGATAACCATCACCTAAGCGGACACAGCACCTTGCACACCGATTAGCTCTCAAACACCGTTAAAGGCAGCGGCTACAAACCCAGCACTTTACAAAGCAGAAGGCACACGCAAACAGCTCATCTGACGTCGCAAGGTGAGTTAGTGAGAAACAGTAAGTTAAAGTTTTTTTCTTCTTATCAGTTAAGTATCTTTATCAACATTGTTTTGCTAAATTTCTATACTCTTGAAAGAAATGATAACGTCACCTACCTAAGAAAGCTCCAAAGGACACTCTGCCTATACCTGTTCCAAACAAAACAGGGAATAAAGAAAATAAAGGACAGATTAAGGGAGGTATCAGGGTGCTCCAAGCAGTCAGCTAACAAACACAAAACACATTAAAAGCAGTTAAAATGACACTGAAATGCATTCGTAATTGTGGTTTTAGCTCTCATTATAATTTTTAAACATAACAATCATAATAACTAATTTACTATAACTTAAAAGCATATATCCAAATGTTCCTCCACTGGACTAGATCTAAAAGAGTTTAAAGGTAGAGCTACCATGTGATACAGCAATTCCACTCTTAGGTATAGACCCAAGAGACTTGAAGCAGCAAAGAGAACAGACACATGTACACGAGTGTTCACAGCAGCCAGAAGGTGGAAACAACCCAAATGTCCATCAGCAGATGAATGGATAAATAAAATGTGGTCTCTCTACACAATGGACTACTACTCAGCCATAAAGAAATGAAGTTCTGGTGCACATCACAATATGGATACTGAATGAAATTACTCCATCACAAAAGGACAAATACTGTATAACCTCACTTATATGTGATAGGCAAAAATATAGAAACCCAAGCTTATTAGTGGTTATTAGGGATTGGAGGGAGGGGGAAAGAGGGGTTTTTGCTTAGGGAACATTGAATTTATGTTAATGGTGGTAGAGAAATTTGGAAAAGGACAGTGAGAATGGTTGCGCAACTTTAAGAATGTAATCAGTGTCAATGAATTATACATGTAGAATTTGTGTATGTTTTGTTGTGTTTACTTTCACCACACAGACACACAAAAGAGATTTTAGCCTCAAAATGTGATGCTCAGGAACGAGTCCCTGCTGTGCCCTCGGCCCCCGAGGAGTTTTCTGGCATTCCTGGGTCTGCTGAGAGCTGGGAACACTGTCCTCAGCCCTGTCCTATTAATGGTGGGAATCTTAATTTTATGAAGTACTGTCCGGAGTTGTATCTTTCCACAAATAAAACTAAGCTTTCTGATGTGGATTTTATTGTGATCTACAAAATTAGGACTATGGATTAAGAAGTAACAATAAAAAAGTGCTTCAAACCCACTAATAGATAATTGTTCTGGAAAGAATTTCAGACAACTCACCGAAATACTCGTTTAGGAAGGCAAGTGAGGCCAGGTAGCAGCCAAGGCTGAGGAACTCGGCCACGACCATCAGCCAGTGCCACGTGCGGATGGTCAGCGCCACCATCAGCAGCTCCGTCAGGATCAGCGCTGTGAAGGAGATGGCCACCACGTGCACAAACTCGGACTCAAACAGCACCAGCGCCCCGTACATGAGGATGCCACCTGGGGTCAGCAGGGCGAGGCCAGCTTTTAGTGGGTGGCTTTCTGTAGCGATGGCCACGCAAGACAGCCAGAAACATGGGGATGGAGTCGCTAACCGCAGCCACCTCGGAAGGCAAGGTCATGCTCATGCTCAAACACTAGGCTGATTAGCAATTTATCTCAAACTCTGAATTATGAGTAAGGTGAGATGTGGTAGATGGGCCAAAAATATCAAGTAAAACTCAGGCACGTTTTAGTGTCTGGAGGGAAAGCCACATCTGCAATCAAGGAGGGCGACCACTGACATGGCATGGTGCAGTACACCTGGTCCACCTGCCATCCCACTGCCAGCAACACCCACGGAACTGGACCACCGAACAAAGGGTGGCTAATGACTTCTAATATATAACTCCATTTCCCAGAGTCCTACCATCACTCCACGAAAGCAAGCCATTGTCGGGCATGCCGTGTGACAAGTGCTTCTTAACGTTTTTCTGGATTAGCATTTAGTTAAACACAGGTCAGTTTTTAGGAGACCTGCCATCAGTCCCATCCACACTGCGCTGTGAAGCAGTCTGGAGCCCCAACTGCTGGAATATCCACTTACAGATAAACAGAAAGCAATTATTTTACTGCTGATGAAATTTTAAGCTTTGGGAATTTAACCTGGAGGTGAAACAGTATTGCTAATAGAAGGTGAGAAAAATCTTTGGTCCAGTAAAATCGGGGGCCTCTCTTACCTTGGTAAATACTGATTAAAACCCAGATGAGGAAGGTCTTAAACGACAAGGATCTTCCCTAGGGTAAGCAGTAGAATAGGTTAGTTAATAGAGCAGGAAAATATGTTCGAGTCATGTATTTTCAAGTAGCTAGATATGCGTAACTTCTAAAAGACCCCCAGGTCTCCAAACTCCAATTCGCATACTAACCCAGCTATTTACCTGCCAACTTTTTCTGTAAAGGGCCAGTAAACAAATGGGAGTGGTTGAGCTCCAATTAAGTTTTATTTACAAAAATAGGACAACTGCTGCTCTACCAGGACTTCTCAAAATGGTTCTTCGTGAACCTCCCAAGTAAGAATACTTGAAACACATGATTCTTGCACATGGCCGCAAAGCTGGCATATTTTCTAATAGGAGATGCACCTGGCATATTTTCTAATAGGAGATGCACCTGTGAGGTTCCCAGGCATGTCTGCGGGCCAGTGGGGATGCGCACCTTAGTGAGGTCCTTGTAGAGCTCCGGGTACAGCAGGGCCGTCTCCGGCTTCACATCTTGGTCCAGCACCAGTGAGAACACTGGGAACATGGTGTATATTGTCGCGTACCTTGAAACCAAGAGTAAAGCTACACTGACAAGAGAAACTTCAGGGTGCAACCATGCAAATAAGGTACAACTATGCAAATAAGTCTAGAATTTGAGGTCTGAGTTTCAGAAACCACACCCAAAAACCTCAAGAGACAAGCTGGCAACCAAGCAAGATTGTTCCTAAAACCTGAATATTTACCCTACAGCACAGTAACATGTTCTATATGCCACAAATGCTTACAGGTAGAGCGGTCTATTTTTTTTAATTAAACTTTTTATTAGGAGATAATTATAAGAAATCATACAGCTCCACGGGTGGTGACATCTTGGAAAACTCTGTATCTCAAACATGAAACTGGCATGGGTGAAGTCACAACACAGAACATCCCATCACAAGGGTCCCTCCTGGCGCTGTTATCGCCACACCCACCTCCCCCACCCCACCCATCTCTGAACCCCTGAAACCTCCATCTCTATAGCTTTGTCATTGTAAACTTATTATGTAAATGTAATTATACAGTAGATAACCCTTGGGGACTGCCTTTTTCCCTTACCATCATTCTCTGAGATCCACTGTTGCGAGCATCAGTAGTTTGCCCACATTTATTGTTGAGTGGTCTTCCATGGGAAACCCTGGTGGTGTAGTGGTTAAGAGCTATGGCTGCTAACCAAAAGGTCAGCAGTTCTACTCTGTCCTATAGGGTTGCTATGAGTTGGAATCGACAGCAACGGGTTTGGTCTTCCATGGCGTGGACCACAGTTTATTTAACCGTTCCTTCTATAAAGGACCATCTGGGTTGTTTCTAGATTTTGGCTACTGCAAAGAAAACTGCCATAAACATCCGTTGTACAGTCTTTTGCGTGAAGGTAAGTTTTCATTTATTTGAGATAAATGCCCAAGAGTGCAATTGCTGTGCTGCATGTTATGCCACACTTAGTGTGTTTAAAAAGCTGCTCAGCTGTTTCCCCGAGCGGCCGCACCATTTTACGTTCCCACCAGCAGTGTGTGAGTGATCTAGCTTCTTCCATCCTCGCCAGGGTTTGGCGCCGTCACAGGTGTGCTGTGACAGCGTGTCAGGGTTTGATTTGCATCTCCTCCCCAGTGGACAAAAATGTCGGACATCTTTCATGTGCTTTGCCACCTGCATATCCACTTTGGTGAAATGTCTGCTTGTGTCTTTTGTCCATTTTCTAATCGGATTGTCTTTTTACTGTTGAGTTTTGAGAATTATTTATATTCTGCTGAAGTCCATTTTGTCATTTTTTCTTTTTGTGCCTAAGAAATCTTTGGACTTTAAGCCATGTTAATTCTGGAAGTCTCAGGGATCTCAGTCCCTACTGCCTGCTGTCCAGTGTTTAAAAACGGCTGCTTCACAGATCTCATGCTGTCTTCCAGCTGTTTAAGATAGGAAGCTCAATTGCTTCCTGTTATTCCAATCACGGCTGGAAAGCAGACAGTTCCCGTGTCTCTCTCTGATAAACATACAGATCTCATGTTTCCCGACGGGGTCTGGTGAAGGCTCCAGTAGGACATGCCTGCCCTTTCACCCTGCTCCACTGTTGAGAACTGCTGCTGTGAATATTATTCACCTTCTTGAGTGCTAAATTAAGATGATCTTTAATAATTTTCACAAGCATGTTCTTAAGCTCTCTAAGTCACTAGCAAGGATATAAAGTACCACACCTAAGAACCCCGTGATGCGACCTGATTGGTGGGTATCTCCAGGTGGCTACTGACATTAATAATGCCTCATCTGAGTGACACCTTCAGTGAGTTTGGACTAGCATTTCCCAAAGTATGTTGCTGGGAACACGAGCCTCATGAGATGTCAGCAGGTGCTCTGCGACACAAAGGTTTGGTTCAACAAGGTTGAATAGGTTTTTGTACCAGCAGTTTCCCAGAACCTTTAATTTGTGAGTATGCACTGTGAACTTTAAGAGGGGCTGTAATATACAATGTTGCCCCAAGAGTACTCTGTCAACAGTTCTTTCTCTGGAGGGGAGGGGTACAACAGCACCTCACAGGGCCACTGCTTGGTTTTGGAAAGACCAGCTGAGGCCACACAAATGTGTCACCAGCATACACACGGGCACAACGAGCCAGGTCTCCTCCACGGCCATGCTTCTGTCTCTGTGCTGACACCAGGCCCACTGACCACTGCTGCCCGCACAGCTCGCTCATGTGCCCCTGCGCTGTCCCTCTACCCTTCTTCCCGCTGGTTCCCTATGCAGCTAATGGATTAATGGGGAACTCATTAGTTGAACTAAATTTGACCAATTGTCCCATAGTTTCTAGAGGAGTTTTTCTATCACAGAAGGACATTCATTTGGTCTGGTTAGATTTTAATTTTCTTTTAAAACATGTTTTTTGCTCATTCTCTGCGTTTATTTTCTGGGTGAGAGCAAGACTGATTTTACCATTTATTTTCAAAGAAGCTTAGCTTCTTTGGCATCTCGCCTCCCAGATTCAGGGTACAACACTGAAGACAGTTTGGAAGCCTCATTTACATGATACCACATTCAAAGTAACTTTAACTCAATAAACGTAAGCTTTAAAAGTAAGTGAGGCTTCTACTGAAGAGGGCAGACAGTACCCCGTCAGGCAGACCTTTATCAACTCGGGCAACTATTACCTAAAGGAATAATCGCCACGTGGGTTAAATTTCCCTTTTGATGTTTCAAATCCGTAATTTTAAAAATGTGAGAGGGAGTAAGAATGGTTATGCTTTTCTTTGAACTCCAAGGAAGAAATGAACTGTATAAACTCAAGGTATAATTAGCATTATTGTGCAAATCCTGTACTATTTAGAAATAATTAATATAATAATTACAGCAAAGCTTTAAGCAACAGAAAAATGTAAAAAAGAGTTAAGGTTTTTTGTTCCTTTAGGATTTTTGAGTTTTTTGAAGCATTACAAGAAACACTATTTAGCTGAAAATGTCAGGACTAACCCTTGCAATTTCCATCAGTTACACAGGCCATGGCTGGGCAGGTTATTGGGCATATTCATGTCACATGAAAATATGAAATGAGAACTAAATCCATGTAAAAGTCACAAAAGTAAGGCTCATGTGACCCGATGTCCTGGCCACGTGTGTTCAGACTTCCCTGTCACCTCCCAAGTGTCCCCTAGCACGTATCTCTGCCAACACATGTCCCCCAGTGCGTATCACCCAGTGTGCGTCCCCGCCAACATGCATCCCCTGGTGCACATCCAGTGTGGGATTGTGGGAAGGGAGGGGTGAGGCCCAGAGAGCTGTGGCTCCATGACAACAGCGGAGTCTGTAAAGATCACTGCCGAAAGAGCTGTATTCTTCCACCTCCTGTTAGTGTGCTGTAGTGTGGGGACTTGGGGGTTGCTGTGATGCTGGCAGCTACGCCACTGGTGTTTCAAATACCGGCAGGGTCCTCCGTGGTGGACAGGTTTCAGTGGAGCTTCCAGACTAAGACAGACTAGGAAGAAAGGCCTGGTGATCTAGGTCCAAAGAACAGCCAATGAAAACCTTATGGTTCACAATAGAATATTTGAATTTAACTTACCCTACCATTAGGAACCCCTGGTACAAAGGGACAGATGCAAAATAGAAGACTGAGGAGAAAACAGCCTGAAAGAGAGACAGTCAGTTAGTAGAGCAACAGTGGCAGGTGCCCGCCATGCTCTCCTGCAGGCCGAGAGGGCCTCGTCACCAAGTCTGACCACACACAGGTACAGCAGACACTGGGCCGTCCACCCTCCTGTGACCACAAGGTCACAGGACACATGGGCATCCTCCCATGACCACGCGGTCACGTGATACACAGGCATCCACCCTCCTGTGACCACATGGTCACGTGATACACAGGCATCCTCCCCTCTGTGACCACACAGTCATGTGACACAGGGCATCCTCCTGTGACCAGTCATGGGACACACAGGTGTCCACCCCTCCTGTGATCACACGGGCATCCCCCCGCCCCGAACGCCATGGCACCTGCATGGTGGAGATGATGAGGCCCCTGTGCATGACGAACTGGCCCAGTGCCGCCGAGCGCTTGTAGCTGTTGCGGCCGTGCACCATGAGCAGCCGGCCGATGTGCTTGAACTGTGTGATGGAGAAGTCGGCAGCCAGCGAGGCTTGCTTCCCCTCCTGGGGGACACAAGGGCCTTTTCAATGTGGCACACATGGACAACAATACATTCCCAATTCAGAATAGTGGAACCCAAACTAATTTAAAATAATATGAAATGCCTCTGAACAACTTTGAAAGCTTCAGTTGCTTCTACTAGAACACGCGTGTGCCGATACATCCCACATGTACCCTCCTGGGACATGTGTGTGCTGATACATCTCACGATGCACCCTCCCTGACATGCATGTGCTGATGGGTGACACGTATGTGGGAGAGACAGGAAGAGCCTGCACAGCGCCAGCACATCTATCCCAAGGCATTTGATCCTTGAGTCTGAGGTAGCTCAGTGTCTTCCCAAATTACAGAAACTAAGAAAGAGCAGACACAGACCTGGCCTTGGGGACACCTGTGATCTGGGGTCTCAGGACAATTTCTCTAGACCTTGATCATCTCATGGATAAAACAAAGCCTGCCTCCTATCTCACAAAATTGCTAAGAGTCAAGTGAGATAATTATGAGAAGTAACTTTAGATGCCATGAACTGTTCTGTAATTATAAGGTATTAAATGTAAAGCAGCCAAAGGAAAAAGCTGCTCATAAGTGAGGTTCATTTCCCAGGTCTCTCTTGGCACATTCTAATCAAAGTGGTTGTGGGGAAAAGAAATCAGGAGGGTAGTGAGCCTGGCATGGAAGAAAACCCTAAAACCATGGCTGCTGTCTGTCAAGAGAGATGGGCCCCTAAACGATTAGAAGAGAAGAAGACAAGAAAGAGACACGGGAGTGTGGGCCACAGAGCACAGTGCAGACTGCTCCAGGGTCAAAGAGGCTCATTGGTGCGCTGACCCCGAAGAGGCTGGGGGGAACTGTAGGGCGAGGAGGACAGAGGGGCGTGCTGCCCATGTCATGTGTCACTGCAATGACTGCGTGGCTGTCCTCACCCCTGCCCACGTCACATGTCACTGCAATGACTGCGTGGCTGTCCTCACCCCACATGCGGCCCTGTGCCAGTCAAGTGCGTGTGGTTCAAGAGTGAAGGGGGGACAGACAGGACACAGGAGGGATGCGTACCTTCCCGTCAATCCCAATCCCACAGTCTGCTGCCTGAATCATGCTGACGTCATTTCCTCCATCACCTGAAAAGCGCGAAACATTGTAAAATTAAAAAGAACCTGTTCATGATTGTATGTTTTTCTTTTTTACTTTTAAAAACCAGGTGCCGTGGAGCTGACTCTGACTCATGGCGACCCACAGGTGTCCATAGGATTTTCAATGGCTGGTTTTTGGAAGCAGATTGCCAGGCCTTTCTTCTGAGGCACCTCTGGATGGACTTGAACCTCCAACCTTTTCGGTCAGCAGCCAAGTGCAATAACTGCTTGTACTGCCCAGGGACTTTTTTTTTTTTTACTTTTTAGAGGCTGTTAAAAAACATTTCCTGTAATATAGAGGAAACTGATGTAGTTTTAGAATTAAACACAATTTTGCATGTAAATTTCAAGATAATCAGTTTTTGTTAAAATGTTACTGTTAAGTGTGGGAAATGTTTTGGAGGCCACAGCTCATGTTTCATTGCAGGCAGCTCTCTCTGCTGCCGCACTGACCACCCTGACCCCCACGGGTTCACCAACAGTGCAGGTGCACCTGCCCTGTGCTGATCACGCTGATCTCACCACCCCCCCTGCCCACCCTCCTACCCCGGGCTCACCGACAGCACAGGTGCGCCTGCCTGTGTGCTGCTGCAGGAGCTTCACGATGTGGGCCTTTTGGGTGGGCGAGCAGCGGCAGCACACCACAGCGGGGCACTGGCAAGCCAGCTCCACAAACTCGTGTTCATAGTACTTCAGACACACCTGGAACACAGAACCCGCGCTGTTCACACTGAATCCAAGGCAGCACCGGCTGTGAGCTTGTGAGCCTGGACCAGCCTGTGATGCTCAGGAGTGAGGCGCCTGTCCTTTCTGGTTGGTGCCAACTGGTCCTTCATGCCTATTTTCAGGCAGACACCGTCCAGGTGCTGGGACAGTGTGGGCCAAGTGGACACGATGCAGTCCTGGCAGAGGGGGACGCCCTCAGGACGAGGAGCAGCACGGTCACAGTGGGGGAGGGGCACCAGAAGGCCGGTGGGGGGGGGAGGGCTGTGGTGGGGGAGGGAGGGCTGTGGTGGGGGCAGTAGACCAGGACTTGCAGCCACGGTAAGCATCCCAGAAGCCCGTGGAGGCCTTAGCCCAGGAGGAACAGAACCAGCTGCAGAGCCCCAACAAGTGTGGAGCAGACGCTGTAGGTCTTCCCAAGGCAGCTGCTCAGGTCACCTCTGTGACAGCTTCCAGAGGGGCCTGCGCTTTTCTTAAGATGATCTCAGCCCACTCAACAGATGGTGGAGAACATAAAAGACACACACATAGGCACACACAAGTGCATGGGCAGATACCCACCCATGCACACACATGCACGCATGCACACACATGAATGCATAAGTGCACACACACAAGGGCACAGGCACACACGTGAATGCACGGACACCTGCATACATACATGCACATGAGCACACACATAGCACGTGAATGCAATGCACAAGTGCACATGAGCATACACACATAAGCGAACACGCACGAGTGCACACGCACACATGCATGCACAACAGTGCAGAGGGAAGGAGGAGCGCCTCTACAAACTTGTAGAAGATGGAAAGCGGATGGGAGCATAAGCAGATGAAACGTGAGAAGTTTGCAGCTCAAAGTTTGCATCTCAAAATATCCTACATAAAGAGACTGCTGGGGGACTGATGCAATTTCCCCACTACAACACGGGAGAGGATGACGAGCTAAATCCTCATGTTTACGGCAGGTGCTCAGTAGATACTGCCTAAATTTGAAAATTAATAGACACACACAGAAGACTATCTAGATTGATGGAAGTGACCACTGAAAAATCTAAAAATAGAGATGGTGTAATGGTTAAGATTGTGTGTCACCTTAGCTGGGCCATGATTCTCAGTGTTTATATGTGATCACTCCCATGACGAGATCTGCTGTGCGCAGCCAATCAGTTGAAAGGAATTCTCCTTGAGGGTGTGGCCTGCATCTGAATATAAGCAAACATTCTGGCTTTTTGCTCGCTCTGGATCCTGTGGCTGCCTCCTGTTCATCTGACCTCTGGTTCTTGGTACTTGAGCTGTCAGCTTATCAGCCAATCTTGGGATTCGTCATCCTTCACAGCCTGTGAGTGGGAGCCCTGTTCTCCGACCTGCTGATCTTGGGTTGGCCAGCCTCTGTGGCTATGTAAATCAGGAGAAGCCTTGTGGTCTTGCCTGCCAATCTTGGGATTTGTTGATATTCACAGCCTGTGAGCAAGA